ACCGCTGTACCCGAAAGAATAGAGCTATCGAAAGAGAACTTCCAATGCGCCTTGTAATTTTTTTAAAGGTCGAAAGCAAGCTCTTGCGGATCTTCGGAATCCGGCCGATTACGGGTCAGAACATATTTCGTGAAACTTTTAAACAAATATCTTGTAACATGAAAATGTGCGGAAAGTGTACATATACAGATATTAAATGAAACATTTAAGAAGAATATAATGCAATTAAGAATAAAAATCAAATAAGGAAGGAATAAAATGATTTAATAAGAGAGTGAGATAGCAAAAGAGTCTCCACATGCACTAGACAATGCTGCGCCAAAATATGCTTTAAAATTTACAACAGATTGAAAATCATCTAAATTTAAATGTTCAAGCTCTTTATCATTAAGAAGTTGTTAATAGATAAATTAATCCATTTTATTTGAAATTAAAAAGTAAGTAAAATTCGCCATACCACGGCTTCTTTCGCTCTTCATTTTCTATTTGAACAACCTGCTGATCGCTTACCGTAAAGATGCCTTAAGTCTGCCTGGTTGTTTCGTTTTTTGTATCTCTCTTGTCTTAAAGAAATGGTGCGATCTAAGGCCAAAGTAATATATTATGTCACTTTGTAAGTCTTGCGTCACAGGTCATGTTATAGAAGAGTCCTCTTTGTTCCAGAAGTTTGCTGGGTGCGTCAAATTCTGCGATTGAACCGTCTTCAAGAACCATAACCCTATGAAAGGAAAAAAAAGTTCGTCACTTTAACGTGCAATTTTTTGTGTCATAATCTTGAACTGTTGTCAAGGTAAATGACTAAACTAGGACCTGCTGTTTAAAATCGATGCTTGACAGCTCACACGAATAATGAATGATGTAAATTAGTTCGCCACGCCTAAGTTATTCAAGATCAACGATTCAGTTAAATATCAATCACTGAAGTTTGTACGAGGTCCACTAGACAGAGTTTTACCTGTCATAGTCCATGATGGTGTTTAGCCTGTGGGCGATGGTGAACACCGTACTGTCAGCGAACTCTCGTCGAATCGTTTGTTGAATGAGTTCATCAGTTTCCAGGTCTACCGCGGCTGTTGCTTCGTCCAGAACCAGGATCTTACTTTTACGGAGAAGTGCACGCGCTAAACAAATCAGTTGTCGCTGGCCAACACTGCAATAACGTATAAAAATTCCATAGCGATTAAATGAACCATGTGAAAGGCGTTGGCCATAGAAAACCAACCACCCAAAACTGCACTAAAATGTCCTTGAACCTTTCAGTCTTAAAAGGCTATGCAATCTCTAGCTCATGATTGATGAAATCATACACGCTTTAGGATTTTAAAGGTTAAATTTCATGCATATATTTGAATTTTTAAACGTCGCCTAGAAATGAGAACCGTGACACGTGAAAACTTAGTAACGATACAAAACAATTAAATGCTCACAACATAAAAAAAACTAAATCTTTGAATAAGCGAAAACCATAGAGGAGAGAATCAAAACCTTGACCTATAAAGAAGTAAGTGGTGAAACAGAGAATTAACTCTGAAGTGTAAATTAAAGTGCTATTTAAACCCATGAATAACCCATTGGGCGTTAGCCCTAATAAAGGGAAACAGGGAACCACACGAGGCAAAGAAAAAATCTTTTGACCTCGGTGGGAATCGAACCCACGACCTCCGGATTAGATCTACCGTTACTCTGCCGACTGAGCTACGAGGTCGCACAGAGAAAGTCGGGGACGATTTAGGATGGTAAATCGCGGCGAAGAGAAAGTAAGGGTACATATGAATGTTGTGCCGCGTAGCACTGGGAACACAAATGGTGAAACAGAGAATTAACTCTGAAGTGTAAATTAAAGTGCTATTTAAACCCATGAATAACCCATTGGGAACCTCTTGATTTGAAGGGCTTCTTGACCGGGGGCTTGAAATTTCATGGAGAACCTCAACGCGAGTCCTTCTTTTTTCCTAAACTCTTCTAAACCATGCAGTTTCAATACTCACTAACTACGAAATACATCTTTTAGGTTGCTAAAAATACAATAATTGAAACGAATTTGAGAAACGCGCATTACATTTTCATAAGTCGTGAGCCGTGTTTTAGGTTGAGCTTGTATTCTTGTACCTTGTATCACTAAACATTTCAACGTATTCAATGTCAGTCCACCCTTTTTCCTACCTGAGATCTTCACCTCCTTCGGCTATAACATACTGAAGTCCTCCTCTTAAACTCATCACAAATCTTTTCAAATGACTCACTTCCAGTATTCTCCAAAGCTCTTCATCGAAATGTTCATTGAACGGATCTAAGTTTAGACGGAGAGTTCCAGAAAACAACACAGGCTCCTATAGGTAAAGGTAAATAAGAATGGAATAAAAACAAAAAGTAAAACAAATAAAATAAGCCTTTATTGATTTAATTAAAAAAATTGCGAAGTATCAATATTTTTCCTACGTATTCAACTGACGACGTCCCGGTACTCAAAGGTGCTAAAGTATGAAAACACATAAATTTCCTTGAAGACCCTAAAAAGCGATGTAACAGCCCTAAACTAGGACGAACGAATTGTGGCTAAAGATGCTCAGGCTCCCTCTCCATTGTTACCAACAAGCGCCTCCCTCCCAAAAAGCAGCATTCAAGTACATCGGAAACATTTTGTTATCGCGATATCACCATAAACCTCCCCTCGTTTGTTTGCGTCCCATGTTTCACCTGTGGAATAATGGTAAGCCGCGAACGGAGATCTCTGAGTCCAATGGTGGCAATATCAACACCATCGATGACAATTTTACCACCTGATCTCTCAAGAATACGAAACAAGGCTAAGGCCAAGGACGATTTCCCAGCTCCTGTTCGACCCACAATGCCAATCTGTCGAGCATTCAACAAAGTTGTATTCGTCACTGAGAAAATGATTATAATGATAATGATAACAATAGCAACTAAGTGAACAACACCTGTACAGTTGAAGGTGAGTAAGATTTTTACGCAGCAAATTTCATAGCTTACTGCATTTCAAAAGACATTTGAAAAAACGGAAGTTTCCTTGTGTATTCAATTAAAACGTGAAAATTAAAGTCAAACAGCAAGTCACCTTTTAAGTTAAAGCGTTAGAAGAACTTGTTTAAGTCTACTAATTTCAGGATAAGTATTGCTAGGAAAAGTCATTATTATTAAGAATAAAAATAACATAATAATTGGATTTAGCTGCGGACATTCCACAAGGAGGCTCTTCTTGTCCATTGATTACAGGTCGAATTGGAAATTGGAAGCGTTGGTTTTTGAGAAGGGAGGAAAACCGGAGAGCCCAGAACAAAACCCTCGGAGCAAGGACGAGAACCAACAACAATCTCACTCTAAAGGAACACGTTCGTTTCGTACCCACGGTCGTTTCGCACTCAGTCGTTTCGTGACTCATACATTTATCAAAATACTTCACGCGCTAGCGCGTGAACAAATGTCAATCAATGCGCACGACAAGTCAGTAAAATACAAACACAATTCTTTTGTGTGTACTTGTGAACTTTTTAAAAAAAGCGACTTAATTAATGCTTAGCTCAAGCTAAGACTTATATTTTAAATAGAAAAGTATGTTGTTTATGATTCATTTACCTTTTCAGCTGGCTTGATTATGAAGGTTATCTTTCTCAGAACCAATGGAAGTCCTTCTCTGTATCGCAACTGGAAGTTATCAAATAAGACTATTCCCTGCTGTGGCCAAACACGAGACGGCCGGCTATCAGGAATGACTCTTTCCGCCTAGAAATGAAGAAAAAAGTGAATTGAATGATATATATGCATCATTTAACATTTCACCTACAGAAGTGGTAAATTTGAATACTACCTCGCCTTACCATGTTCAGAGGTAAAGAAGAATAGAACTAAGAAACGGTTTAAAAATTTTGTCAAGGTTCTTCTGGTGAAAGTATATTTGTTTTGCGCTTCTTGGAATATCTTTGGTAGTACGAAGGTCGTTTGCAAAGCAATTTCCAGAGAACATAAGAACTGCCAAAAAAATTTTCACGGACTTTAAATGGAACATGTGTCTTCTAAACAAACAGCTCTGTTTCAATTTTGAGATTTGATTTTCGAACCTTGGGTGCTTTAGTTTGCAAACCTGTTTAGACGAATAATTACGTTGGAATGTGTCCAAAGTCATTCGATGAGAAAAATCAGAAATACTATCAGCAAATACTTGAAAGTGATTGCTTTACACCCAGAGGAAACATTCAGGAAAATTTGCTCAATTTGGTAGCATCGTGTAATCGTCCTACAAGAGTTGTAAAGATTCATTCTTTTTCTTCTTCGTGCGTTTTAAATGGTCAATGATTTCATTTTCACCCACCTCTGTCTGGGCATCAGAATACTCTTTCACCCTCTCAACTGATACTAAGTTGGTTTCCAGTTGACTTGACATCCGAATCATCCAGGCAAGTTTCTGAGTTATCTACAACACCAATTAAAATAGAGGAAAAAGGAACGTTTTATAATACCACAGCAAAGTCAGGTTGCTCGAAATTATAGAGCCTGGAATTAGGTCATTCAAGCGGAAAAAAAGGAGGGGAAAAATGGTAGTTGACTTAGCAAAGCTTTTTACGCATTTCACTATCCTCCTTCCACCGAGCTAACTTTGTTCACATTATATGTTTACCGGCTACCTTGATCAAACTTATTGATATTAACAATCTAGCATTTACTGAAGCAGGTCCATACAATGACACGAACTTCCGTCGACAAAATTGGATATTTAGAAACACCTACGTGTACAAAGCGAGGGTCGAGTGTTTACTTCAACCTCTAGGTCTTGAGGAAGTAAAGTCATTTCGTTTGTTTACCTGCACCGCATAGGTTACAGAAAGTCCCACAAGACCTCCACTGATCTTTTCTCGGCTGATTACTGCAAACAATGCTGCAAACAGGATCAGGCAATTGCCGATGAATTCCAAACGAAGAGATAACCATCTGTAAAAAAAGTTGTTTTCCAAAGAGCTTTATTCTCTTTGGAATTTAACATTTGGAGCTAAAGTTTCATCCTTAATCCTATAAAATATTTAAAAATGATGATCCTTCTATTAGAATAAGCTGTATAATGAATGATGACATTAGAGACATTTCGTTTCCTTACAACAACAACTATCGGCGCAAATAGCTGCTTATAGTGTTCATCACAACTCGTGCCCAAAAATAAATTGACGATGAAAAACGAAAAAAATAATCCTTAAATTTCCGCATCAAAGTCAAAATTATTTTAAGAAAGACAGATTATCAATGTTAATGCTGAAAAATTAAGGATGGCAAAAGCAATCTCATAAAGTCAAGAACAGGATTATGAAAGGCAGAGGAATCATTTTGTTAGTCTGCGAAGGTTACTCAGAGAAGACTAAATATTTTACTATGCTAATGAAACCGTTATAGATGGATAAAGCCTGTAATTATACAAGTAGCAAGTTCATGCTCATCCGAGGACAGGATACTTGAGATGAAATATACGTATGGTGCAGCATTCATCTTTTCACCTGTCAGCAGTAACAGCCAAGTAATGTGCTTCTTGGTTTTCGTCTAATTTCCTATAATTATCCCGGATGAAGCGCTGCTGTTGTGAGAAAGCCCGTATGGTGCTGACACCGGTGATTGTTTCCAGGAAGTGACTGTATATTGGTGATCGACTCACTGACTCGATTCTTCTCAGCTGTCTCGATGTAGCCACGTATACTCTCTGGTACAATAATTAGTGAATGAATTAAACTGCAGGATTCAAGACGTGTAACATGCATAAAGTGATAAAATATGCGTTCCAGCTCGGAGAACAGTGATGAAAATATACTACACTTTCAGCTCTTCAATCATCATACACGTAAACGAGACGTGTTCAGTACTTCAATCGATTCGCACATTGTAAATGAATGTGGAGAGTGAAATAGGAAAGTGTGATATTTCTTATTCAACCTGATTAGGAAGACGTCAATGGGGCGGGAGAATTTTGTGATGTCCAGCAACAGAAAAACAAGAGAAAAAAAGAAAACAAGGACAATTGCTCAAAATATTCATTATATAAAGTCGAATTGAATCCCATCCTTCCCTATAAGAAAAATGTAAATGTGCCGCGAGAAAAACTCCGAAATGTTCGACTTGCAGTAAACATCTCATTATCCATGATAAACTTCTCCGTCCCTCCTCTAGCTGGTCTTACTTTTCTATTGTCGTCGACGTTTGTGTGCTGTACGTTTATTGAAATATCCTACGATGTGTTTTACCTTAAGTTTAAACGGAAACAAAAGTCTTTCTCTCACCTGTATGTAAAAATAAAGTGCTCCCAAAGGAGGAACAACAGTCAGGAAGAGTGGTGTGGCGTAACTAACAGCTACCAACATCCCAAGGACATCGAAAAACATCTGTAAGAACGACTTCAGAGATAATGGAATTGTCACATCAATGCAATAAATATCCTTCGACAGCCGGTTCATAATCCGACCAATCGGTGTCGTATCAAAGAACATCATCGGTAACCGCAAGATGTTCACGATTAATTTACGATGAAGTATTCGGGAAGCTCTAATCGCCCCTATAAACAATGCCAAGGAGTACAAAAGGGTAAAGAGGGTCTGACCCGATCCGATGCTTCCATAGATTAATAGATAAAAGTCCCTTTGATGGTTTGTGGTCACGTTTGCTGCGCTCCAGTGGGCTAACCATACTCCTGTAGCCACAGAACACGCTTCCATTACCACGAAAAAGAACAGAGAGATGACAAACCAGTGTATGCCAGAGGACTTGATGTACGAAAACAATAAGGAAAACGTTGCCTGTTTAGGGATATAAATAATACAGACAAGTGCTTAGAAAAAAACCCAAACAAACAAACAAAACCAAACAAAACAAAAAAAAACAGATCATTGCTACTGCTTTCCTATCACTTAGAAAAACAGTCCGCCTTTTTGACACATGCCGAACAGAACCACTTCCAAGGGCATGGGGCGGGTTTTGAGCAATCATAGTGGGTCCAGAATTCGGAACATACGAGAAATCTCAGGGTACCGAAAATCGAAATTATGCTCGGATAAAGTTGATAAAATGCTCCTTACTGAGTAGAACCTTTTCAAAGCATCCATCTATCTCAAATGTTGTCCTCAAACGGAAATCTATCTAGAGGAAACACCTCTAGCCAAATGGAATTTTACAGTGACTGGAAAAATTGCTCAGATGAGAGACCTCCCCGGCGTTTTTGTTTAATAATAGCAAGAAATTGTCTTAACAACAACACTGACAACATCGACACTGTTAGGGAGGAGGACTAAAACCCATTTGTGACATCTAAGCTGAATTTGCATGAAAAATTATGGCAAATATGAAGAATTCTTTAAATTGCTACAAGAGTAAGATTTCACTCAACACGTCTTGATTGCAGCCAAAGAAAATTATATTTAAGAAAGAAGATAATTACTCGAGAAAAATGAACTTTGTTAGAAAAATTGTATCAAAATATAAATTATTTATATTTCGGAATAACATTTTTCT